AACAGCCTAAAAATATTCAGCATTAGCTAAGACATGCCATACATAGATTAGCAAAAATACAGCTGAAATGAGTATTGACATACTGCCTGACTCCCTAAACAAGGAAGCTGGTAGAATCAGGATGCCTCCTGTCTTCACTGAGAGTGAAGACTATTTGAAAGCTCCAGAGCAATACCTAGGGAATCACAGCCACAAATTTCCAGGGAGAGGGGGAAGACCATCAGGGCATGTAACCTGCCACAGAACCTCGAAGAGAAACACAGGAAACCTAAAAGGTAGAGATGAGGCCAAACCACTTTCAGATCTACCCAGCCTCTATACTAGCCCCAGGCAAATTGAACTGGCAGATTCTTGGGAAGGGAATGGTGGGTCCCTCTAGCTGCTCAAGAAAATGAAATCCCAGAGTTTCCATATTCACTCTTAATGCTCTGTGGAGTTCAGGAATCTTGTGAGGTTCCCACTTTATCTTTTCCTGTCATGCTGGAAGGCTAAGAACCTACAAAAATCAGCAGTTAGAAGGAAAAAAAAAAACAACAAATACTCTGCTTCAAAGTTCCTGTCCTGTGAAAGCTGAAAAATGCTGGAATTGGACCAAGTCGGCCATGGCACTTGAGCATGTAGAGAAAAAGAGTTCAGATGTGGTCTATCACTGACAGTATTTATAAAGTGCATTCTATTTAATGCAAAAAACCACCCCCGTCCCTTGCTAAAACATAACTTTAGAAAGTCCTCCCTTATTTCGACAACCTGCCAGTGATTGTTTAACAGGTTTAAAAAAACATATTAATGCCTTACTTTTCTTCTCAACTCATTCCTTACCAGAATCTCAGGTGTCTGCAAGAATTCAGTGTCCTCTAAAATCATAAATACTGCTTCAGACGTTTTTCCAGTGAATGTCCAACCTGCCTCTCAAGTCCCATGGAAACTCTTTGCAAAGATGTTGCTTTTGTCTTGTCTGGAACAAATTCCTTCACAGATGGACCATCCAATGTCTAAGAATAACTCTTTTAACTATCAATAGAGACAAAGAGATTCAGTTGCACTGTTCCCGTGGGATTCCTTTGAGTTTGGACACATCTGTTAAGATGCATACATCAGAGCCTGAATGAAGGTTTTGTCTGATTGTATCTTTGAGAACTCGTGAAAGTTTCTGCCAAAATGATCTTATCTCTTGGCACACTTGCAAAACATATACAGTTATAGATGCTTTCTGAAGGCTCCTGAAATAAGTGGACTATGTAGACCAGACCAATTTAAATACAGCCAGGTCCTGATGACTTTCTTCTCTCACTGAAATCTTTAGAAACTTTACCTGAGGCTGCTCAGCCTTTGAACTACAAGCCTTATTATGCACTTTATGCATTCTCTATCCATAGGCAAGGAAATATGTGAAAAAAATGTGAATAGAACCAATCTCATTGCTTTCCTTTGCTTTTTTATGACCTTTCCAGAACCTGTGCTTGTCCTTGCATGAGCACGTTTCTTCTGGGTAAGCAGACAGATCTCTTTGTGACAGCTGAGCAGCTAGAGGTATAACTCAGCTGCAGTTCTATCAGCTCACTCCATCACTTAATTCCAAATTAATTCAAAGTGGTATTTTTTATCTGCCAAGTGCTCCATGAAAACAGTTACCTCAGGAAGCACCTCTTCCTCTAACATGTTTCTCCAACTGTATTGCATTTCTCAAGACTAAAAGAGATGAAACTGGACACAGTGCATCCCGTGTTCTGGATTTAGTTTCAAAGATTAATCCGTGCTGGAAATAGTGTTCCAACCCAGAAATCTAGGACCCAGTCCTACAAATTTGAGGAATAATGCAATTTCATTTGGAATACGTGACACCAGAAGCAGCATGTAGAATATACTATGCTACAGAATGAAACCCTAAATTATGTTGTACAGCAGATATGACTTTACCCAGGTGTTGTTGTTTTTTTTTTGTTTTTTTTGTTTTTTTTTTTTTTTCCCCCTAAGTATTCATATCAGTAAGACTGGCATTCAGACTATTGCTTTAGGCTTTCTTCACCTCTGCCTTTTACAGCTGAGGAGCAGATGGCTATCACTGAGTTTTTATTTCGTTTGCTTGGAAAAAAAATTTGATCTGAATCATTCCAAAAACACCCTGATATTTTAAAGTAGATTGGCTTCTGAACACTTCTCATAATAATAAATATGTGGTGCTGTTTTCTGCCAAGCACTAGTGACTGTGCATGCAAAATGGTCAGTGAAGATTTCAAACTGATTTGAATAGGTGGTCCATAAAATGAAAGCCTTTTTTTTCCCCAGATACATAAATGAGGCCTTATGAAACCATCTGTACATCTGTGCATTTTTCCAAGAATTGATATACCCTACCATGCTGACTCTTTCTGGGTGCTTCTGGTATTTTCAGAGAAAATTCCTCCCAAACTTCCTGTCTAATTTAGTTATAAAGTATTTTTGTATTATTTGCCATCCACTAGAAAACTCCCCAACAGAATGAAGAATGACCTTTGAAAATGAAGTATCTGCCCAGCTGTGGCGGTACAGGCAGTAGGATGGTCTGGGCAAGGGAAGAGAAGCAATGTTGTGCTGTCTAAAGGTAGAGGGAAGGGCAGTTAAGTCTTGCTGACTCAAAGAAGAAAAGCATCACCATGGGTCCAAAAGCTGAGAGGATGAAAGATGTGGCAATGTAGCTCTGAGGAAGAGGGAGAGAAGGACAAGGAAAGAGATTCTAGAGTGAGAGGAAAATAATCGACCCAAAAGACAGGGCACATCAGAGGTACAGAGAAAGCACTTATAACTGCAGGGAAACCCATTTCTATTTTTGGGAGCCACAAAAATCAATCTTTTGTGTCCATGAACATATTCTAGCACTAAGGATTGAGGCAATATTAAAAAAGAATACCACAAAACATGGTAGAAAGCTACAATAAATATGCAGTAAATATTCATCATGCCTCATTTTAGTTCATGTGGGTTCTTGCCATTTTGCAAGGGCATGCCAAACACTAATTATATGCATACCACCTCTAACAAATGCAGCCTGATAAAGGTCATAACCCATCAAAAACAACTGTGAGAACTTCTATTGGTTTCAGAGTACATGGAATCAGCTAACAGAGATAAATACTGCAAGAAGTCTTACTATTTCCTGAATTTTTGCAAGACCCTAGGTATATTCTGGGAATTAAATTTCAACAATTTACAAGCTAGGACAATGTTAACGCTGAAATTGCTATTAAACCCATTGCCTGAAAAAAAATCCCCCACACTTTCAGTGTGAAAGAAGCATCTAACCTGGGCTGGCAGTTTACTCCTATTTATAGAATAATACAATTGTTTAGGTTGGAAAAGGCCTTTAACATCATCTGGAAGGTGACTTGGAGACACTAAAAACTTAGAGGTCTAAAAGACACTGTGCACAGAACAGGTAGAACATGAAGAGCTGCAGGCTCCACCTTTCCCTGCTACCCTCTGCCAATATTCCCCACCCTGAACTTGGCCACCTCAGAAAGCAAAAGCAGGAGCTCATTCTCCAAGTTCCTTAAAATCCCTGCTGGCCTCTGTCCTAAGGTTGCTTTCATGGGTTTCCATTTGTACTGTCAAAAAAAATCAGTGTGAGGTTTCAAATCCCATTTACTAATGAACTCTTTCATCTTTGTGAATGGGATAAAGGGATTCTTTGTTTGAAAATAAGGATTATTTTTTTTCTTCTTGTTCTGCTGATTTTTTTCATCTTTTCACAAGCTTTTTGTTTTCAGAAAACATTACAAGACAAAACCGCACCCCAGTTTTAACAAAGAGCCCTATGTCTCCAATTTGAAAATAATTCTTGTATATACTAAATTGCATGCTGCCTGCTGTTAAATTGTTTCACACCTTTTTCTTCTCCCCAAATCGCCAGGTGAGATTTAGGAAAGTCTCCCCAATGTTTACCAGCTCTATTAAAATCAAGATCTCTAGCAGAAGCTCATAATGAATAAAGTCAGAAGCCAACAGGAATGAATTGCAGCTAAAGTGATTTTGATAGTGATGATCCCTATAACCCAACTGCTTCCAAGCTTGGCCCTGAGGCAGGATTTTTAAACTAAAGAAAGAAAAGGATATACATACTTTTTAATCTGATTTTTTATTGTCATGCCCTGATTTTTTTACAGGCTTTTGCAAAGTCTGGTTGGCTTCTGAGCTGTTGAAACCTGGAGTCATCATCTTCTCTTTTTCCCTCCTCTTGTAAACTTATAACATTCTAAACCACTGCAGAAGAGGTAAACTATATATTCTAAAACTAGTGAGTGATGAGATTCACATTACTCTGCACATTCTTGCCCAAGAGACTTCCAGGCAAGGACCTCTGTGAAATGACAATGTTTTGAAGAGCTGGTGAGGTAAGGTGACTTTCCAAAATCCAGTTTTAATAATCTCCTCCCTTATTTTGTATTTTTTGGCAAAATAGAGAAGAACATTTTCTAAAGAGCAATTAACCCATGCTGAGTAATCTGAAAATGAATGCCCTCAAAACAAGTGCCTTAAAGCTGGTAGAACCACACAGATCTACAAAGATTTTCCAGACTCTCACAGACTGAACCTCTCCACAAAACGCTCCCCTTTCTTAATGGAAACTTTACAATCCTGAGCTGCAGAGCCAAGCACATGTTTTCAGCACAGACTGAAATCCCCCAGTCAGGAGATATGGTTGGGTATTGAGAAGCTTGTGACTACCTGGAGAGGAGCACCAGTTCTATCTGGACAGGGACATGCTTGAGGGGTCTTTCCCTTTTTAATTTGTAATAAGCAGCAACCTGACCTAACAACACACTCCCAGCTTTTTCTGGCTGATTGCATTATCACAACCTTAACACAAAACTATTCTGCTTTAGATATAATTCCCAAAGAAGGGAAAAGGTAAGCCCTGAGGAGGTCCTGTTTATGACATTATGGGAAGAGCATCCAACTGGAAAATGTGGTGCACGGTAAGGGAGGTGTTTTCAAGAACTCCAGCAGCATGTTGGTGTACTCACAATCAGATGACCCTGTGTGTGTGTGCAGGTTTGTTGGTGAATGTGGAGAGTGGATGAGGGCCGGGCTCAGAGAAGGAACAGCTTCAAGGTTCAGGCAGGGAAGGCCCGGCTTGGCGCTGCATGCACCCGTCTGAGTAATCTCATTCTCCTCAGACGCCTTCTGGTTTTCAGCTGTCTTGGGTTTCTTCCTGAAAATAAACAAAGAGACCTTTGAAGGGACTGACTGCATATTTGGGAAAAGGCATTTTTAGAATCTGTTAAAGATAACTTTCTTCCCCCACCACCACCCCCCTCTCGCCTCTCTTTTTCTCTTACAGGGAAGGATGCAGAGAAGACTTCCCTCCATACTTCTTGTTTGGAAACGAGCTGCTCCTTGTTTTGACTCTGATGCAATGGCCCTGAGACTGTGTTACAGCACATAGGCCAAGCACGAAGCTCCTTATTCTGCCCCTACTGATGACATATAAAATGAAACTCATCCCAGTAGTTTAGACAGTCAGAATGCCTTTTGACAAATATTAACCAAGGCTGTAGCATTCTGAATAGAGAGAGTTATACAGAAATATAACAGAATTGTCTGAAAAGCAAACAAATATGCAAGTTTCCAGTTCAAAACAAATCAGTGCCGAGACTTGCTTTGTAGGGAAAAGCACTGAGGCAATTTTGAGATGCAGAGGTCATCTAAGTAAAGCATTGACTTGGAACCTGAAACAACTGCCTATGAGCACTGAGCACACGAGCTCTCGACACCTCCCGTCATCCAGAACCTCCAAGGAAGTAAGCCTCAGTAGTACATCAAGCAGGGAGTCAGGCACCACCTTAGCTTCACGGCTGGAGAAGGCGAGGCACGGGGCAAAGCAGCTTTGCCGCCTCACTGCCCTCCCTCCGCTGCACAGGTGCAGCTGCTCCCTCCGTGCTCCCCGAGCCAGCCCGGGATGCAGCCTCCGGAGGGAACAGGGCTACCCCGGGCCAGGCTGCGGCCAGGGCGCCCGGCAAACACCGGCTGCTGTGGCCGCATGCCGGGGGAGAACCGCGGTCACTCGCAGGAGAGCAGCAGGAGCTGGGCGGGCTGGAGCCGTGCCGCTGGAGCCCGTTATCTCCTGCCGACCGCCGAGCAGCGCCGGGGCGCCCCGGGCGCACGCCCTGCCTGCCGGGACAGCCCTTCCCACAGCCCGGGGCTCTCCTCACGGAGGGACAGGGCGGGAGCCCCTTCTCCCCGCGCGCCTTTGCCCCCCTGCGTCCACCCGGGACGGGGCTCGAGGGCCGCCTTTGAGGGCTCTCCATTCCTAAAGGGGCTGTACGACACGGAGAGCGGCGAGCAGGCTTACATAAAGGCCTTATATAAGGGCGGCACGCCCGGCCGGGGGCAGGGCCCGATCCACCGCCATTGCCTGTGGCCGCCGCCGGGAGGCAGCACCGGCCCGGCCCGCCCCGAGGAGCCGAGCGGGGAAGAAAATTGGAATAAAAATATAAGTTAAACGGGCCAGAAAGAAAGAAAACAAGCCCTTTCCCCACCCTTCCACCCGCAAAGCCCCCCCAGAGGTGGTGGGCGCGGAAGGGCTGCCTTGGGTCGGCCGAGGGGCAGCAAGAGGCGCCCGGTGGCAGCTGGCCGGGGGTTCGGGGTGCGGCCGGGGAGCTGAGCGGAGCTCTGCGGGCGCACCGCGGCCAGCGAGGGTCACACGGATAACCCCGCAGCTTCTGGCAGCCCCGGTGCCTTTTGCTTACCGGGACTGCAATCTCCATGCCACGGGATGGGCGATGGTATTGCTGCTCTAAGGAGGCATATATATTTTAAAGTACACGGACTGCATATGTTTTGTTTGTAAGAGTCCGCAGGGATCTTTGGCATGATCCAAATGACTTCCGGCACACCTTCACACGCCTCGCTTCCAGTGCCCAGGACATTCCCATGTGCAGCCAGCATGCACTGGGGACTGCAGGAAATCTGTGCATAAACCAGTGGGTCTTTACAGCATTGCTACCCAAGCAGCTTTCAGATAGCACGCCTTTTTGGCCAGGGAACAAAGGCTGTACATAGGCTTGGACTCTGGGCGCACACGGCAATGAAGTTCTTGGTACCCAGGAGCTGAACTGCTGTATTTAAGGTCTGGTTTCAGCTCAGAGTTAGCCCAAGTTACATGCTTGGAATACAGCCTCTGACTCCAGGTCTGTCCACACACAAAGCTGCCTACCCTGGACAAGAGACTGCTGTTATTTGCAGAATGAGTCTGAGTAAACAAGACTTGTCAGTCAACTAGCACAGCTATAGTTCTGTTAAATCAAGCACTGACTGATGGGTCATCCTGTGGCTGATCCTGCCTGTGCTTCCCAGGCTTTCAAAACTCATGAGAGGGACAGATTAAAAAACACTATAGTGTTTTTAACAGGTAGTGACACCAAGAAGGCTGTGCAAAGCATTCCCTGCTTCTTCCTACCCAAACCCATAGTTTTCTACTTTGCTCCTAAGGCTGACACTGTATTATCAAGATGCTCTTGTGTCATCATTTTTCCACACTACAGTCCTGCAGCTCGGTAACTTTTGCTCACTAGGATGGTAAGAATACAGCAGTGGTGCTGACTGGCACTGGAGATGACACCTCTCCACAGCAGTTCATTTCTCTCACTGTTCAGACATGGGCTGCATGTCACTACCACTTGAAAGGAATGCAGGCTTCCACAGGAGGATAGCTAAGGAATCAGCAAAGTCAGCTAAAGATCTAAAGAAAGCTTTTCAGAATAGAAAAATCCTGGGGACACTGTGATCAAAACTACCTATGAAGAAACCCAAAGTTCTCCAGTCTGCAATGTCCAACTACTGTTACCAGCAAAGGCAAAGCAACAGCAATCCTGATGTTATTTTAAGTATATTGCTTTTCTTTTGTTCTACCTTATCACCCATACAGAAAGCTCCTATTGCCATAATCTTCACCTATATATTTTAATTAAATAATCTTACATTCACTTACATAGTCTACTTCTATTGCTATCTTTTTGCTATAAGTCTTCACAGGGAGAGTTGTTAAGTACTCAATCAGGTTATGGCATCTCCATCCTTGGAGATTTTCCAAACTTAATTGAACAAGGCTCTGAATAACCTAATCCAACTTGGAAGTCAGCTCCGCTCTGAGCAGGGAATTGGACTACAGACCTCCAGAGGACCCTTCCAACCTAATTTTTTTTCTGATTGCACACTGCTTCTATGAACACTTCCATCAGCAAGCTCTCATATATTTCCATGTTCCAGAAGGTAAAAATGGCACACTAACTTTGGAAAACTGTGAATTGTTATAGCAATGTCAAAAACCCTGAAAGAACAAGGGTAGGAGCAAGAATGAAACAAGTAATAAAAATTGTTTGTGGAACCTTCCCAGTTACTCCTATGTATGTCCCATCTCTGGACTTCATTGATCGGCAGTCCTATGTGATTATTTCAGTAGTAAGGGATAGTCTACCTTGCTGCTTTAGTTTTTAAGATTAAATTCTTCTCTACATACTAATCTTGGAAAAGAGCTGTTTGCTATTTACTTGTTAGTAAGGTCAATAATTGCCATGTTTGGAATGCAAAAGATTTGGGAATGTGCTCTTGGAGCAAGGGGCTCCGTTCTGATCTCTGGTTATCTCCTTCTCTACACGTACCTGTGGTGCATACAAGTCCTTTCCAATACTGAACTCATTCTTAACATTATCAGAGTGCCATCATCCTTGCTCCTTGTTAAGAATGGCAGAAGGGCAATACAGCAAAGACATGGCACTTTTGTACATGGACTTGATGCATAGAATCCCATAAGCTGGGAACAGAAAAGATGCTGACTTTCAAAATTTAGAGGGTCTCTGCAGAATTTATATTTGCTATTGATTTACAAAAGATTTATCCAGTTTATTTCTAAACATCCTACCTACTCTATCACTTCAAATTTTCTATGTCCACATACTTTCCTTTTGTTGGTATTCACTTTTAGCATTCCCTTATATTTATATTGTTATTTATTTTTATTTTTTGTTATGTTAATTTACACCACTTAAAATATATTCTTTTTGCTTCATTGTATGCTCTCCAGCACCTAACAGTAAACTAACTGCCTCCCCTGTCTTTCCTGAACCAAACTGTATGTATCAGTGCTTGGCAGCTTATGTGTACGGCAAAATGTACAATCTTTGCCATAATTTTATTTCTGTTTTCTGTCAGCATCCTCATTGCACTGAGGCATTTGTTCCTTTCCATGTACCTTAACACTGCACTATCATAGAACAAGATCCCAAATCGTGGCCAACTCACAATGATGCAGCGGCTGCAATGATCTGGGCACTGACTGTAAGGTAGAACTGCCTCATTTCTGTTCCATTTGAAGGCAGAATGGGTAATATTTTGGATGTCCTAACCTCAAAGCTATCTAGAAACTAATTACTACCTCTGAGCTTTGGAATGCCTTTAAAACCCCTGCCACACTTCTCCTTTCTTGCTGCTACTCTTGCATACAACTTTCTCTCCCTCAACCCTCCACTTGCTCTCCACAGTTGATTTCTTTGCATGTACCTCCCTTGCAACCATTACTTGAGTTTGGAATGAATTTCCCCTGGATGAGTTAACACGTTCTCACAGGGGCCAGCAAACCAGGTCCCTGTCAAAAATAGACAGTATGTGTTGTACTTCTCACACAGCAGTTACAGCTAATGCTTGAACCTTCCCTTACAAGAGGAATAGCTCTCTGTCCTGCAGAGACATCAGGTTAGCACTGAACAAATTAGCTCAGGTACAGGAACCAGTATAGCTGTGCAGAGCCCTCAGCAGCATCCTGGCTCTCAGGGGAAGCTATGATAATGTGACTGCATGAGAATAATAGTACATAATGAACAATAATGAGGCAGTTTTCAGCCTCTGAATACAGGGAGGGCTGGGTCACCAACCAGACTTTTGTTTGTCGCATATTAAGCACAGAGGGAACATACCACAGGGTTGCTGATGTTGTTGTAAGTGCTGCTGCTGGCTGAGTCTGCCCACCCATGTTTCAGGCATTATTTTGCCTCTTCACATCTATGGCATCACCTTATACTAAGTGCCCTCAGGTCAGAGATGCCTGTAGCGTCCAAGCACTGCACTTAACTCACTGGTGCACAGATAGTTTGTAACCTTAGCAATTCACAGAGGCTGTACGGAATTGAAAAAAAAAAAACAACAAAAAAAAAACAAGCCAAAAAAAGCCAACAAAAACCAAAACCTCCAGCTTTTCAAATCCTAAAAATAAGAGTGTGAAAATAGTTCACGTCTGATTTTAAGCAATATTTTCCCTGAGTCTTCTGCTGCACATTCTTCCTCTGCCTGTGTGCGACTAACACAGCTCCTGATATCAGTGCTTATCACTGCCAGTGTTGTGTCTCTTCCAGACATGACATTGACAATACATATTTAGAAACTGACAAAGTAAAGAGAGAGAGATGAATACAATCACTGAATATAAAAAAATAGGCCTGAAAGAACAACAAAAACCCACTAAAATCTGCCCAGAGACCTCACCCCAAAATTTAGGGCACACTGAATGCCAGAGCTGAGGGTGAAGCTTCCCAAGACAAGCTCCCTCTAAATCACCTGAACCATCACAGTTTTCCTGCCAGAAGTGTTGCTTCAGTAGTTAAAAGTCCTGCACAGGCTGACTGCCTAAATATTCACACAGCTTCTCTGATGATTTTACAGCCACATTGATCTTCATGCTGTTGCAGCTACATGACTGGCAGTTTGTTTAAAATCTCTGATTGCAAGTTTGTGTCATACAATGGAAAACACAAACTCCTGAAAACATTGCCATAAAATGTAATATGAAAGAGAAATCCCAGCAGAACACGGCAAAGCAAGAATGGGAGGCAAGGAGAACTGACAAGAGAGACCCAATATTCTAGTGCAATAAAAGCCTGGAAAATTTAATCAACACAGAAAAGTAAAATAAACTCCAAAATCCCTTACAGGAGACTGATTAACATAATTAAATTAAACTCAGAGATTAAGTTAAAGTAAGATTGAAATTTGCTGGGTCCTTTTCAGGCCTGAGGTAGCGTTTATATGGCCCAAAATTTGTCGATTTATTGTATCTAAACCACAAATCTCATGAGAGCTGGGTCCTGACTACAGAGCTTGACTTGTAACATCAGAGAATCTCAGCTATGCTAACACTGTCACAATACTGACAATTACTGTGAATCGATCAAAAGAATTCAAAACTATTGTATTTATGGGGGAGAAAGTACAAATATCAGGCAAATGGTCATTTCAGAGCATAATAAAACCATAATGCAAAGTCAGAATTCTCCCAGGCAACTTTACCTATGTAATCCAGTTAAATCTAGCAAATCGTTATGGCCTTAAGTCATAAATGTCTCAGGGCCCAGAAAGAACAGTGTAAACCTTTAAGAAGTTGCAGGAGATTCCATCTGTATTGCCTGAAACACCAATGAGAGGAAAAGTGTTGCATTAAAAAGCAATAAGAATAAAAGAGAAGATAAACACTGCAAAGACCAATGTGGATGAACCAAATAGAACAGCACAAACTAGAGCAATAAGTAGGGTGGACCTGCCAAAGTAAAAAATACAAGCAGATCAAACCAGCCATTGCTGAACTATGCTGTGAGGCTATGACTTAAATATTTAACAGTTTTTTACTGACATACTTCTTGCCCACATATTTCCTTGCAAATTTCAAAAGCAAAACTTAGTTTACCCTCATCAGTAAGGCTCCCAGGTGCTGCAGTTTGTTTTTGTTTTTGTAAGATGTCTTTTTTTTTGCTGAACAAGAAGTCTTTTATAAGAGATAAAATATACTTACAGTGGTTTCCAAACGGTATCACTCTTCAGGTAAATTACTCCAAGCCTTGGACCTAGTGCAGACGTTCATTGGGGCAGGGAACAGAGAGAGGCTGTGTCTGTACCAGGAAGAATCAAAACGAAAGGTCAGAGAGAAATAATAATTATTTACTGAGAGCAAGAAAACTTGTTACAACTCTAACTGGCATTCTGTGCTGGCAGCAGCTTGGTAGTGCTGAATTCCTGCTTCAATCTTCCAGCCCTGGCTGCAAATGACCACAGAGTCAGTCCCCAGGTACCCAAGTCTACCCATGCCACCTCATCTTGTGAAGCAAGGAGGAGAGGGAGGATTGGTCCCCAAAGGGCTATCAGCAGGATTCCTTCTGAGGAGTTGCTCACTCCAATGGCATGAGCATGGAGCACTGATGGAGACCTGGCACTCAAGTGCATCTCATCAGAATGACAAGGTCACTCCTGTTCCAAGCAGAAGCAAATACTTCCTCAGGAATGAAAGGCAGGAAAAGGAAGGAAAGAAGCCTCCTTCTTGTCTTTTGCTGTCTTTACCTCACGAAAAGCATGGCTCATATCAAAGCAGAAACCCCACTTTTCTCTCATCAGCCACCTAGTCTACTGCAATGACACCAGGGAAGTAACTTATTGCCAGCCTTGCAGGAAAGGTTTGACTCAGCAGCACTTTTATCTCTGAAATCTTCTAAGCTAAAGAGATAGTTGGAACCAATGGACTGAGATGGGAAGGGATCCACAAAAAACCTCTGCTCCAATATTTATTAGATGGTGATTTCACCATCCAGATCTTAGTTTTTGGGAGTATTATTGTCCTTTGATAGCTCACTGTGGGTATGTTGGGAGTATGTCTGAAGCTGACATTCAGGTACAGAATTAAATTCCGCTCACTTCACTTATGCAAAGAACTCTTGAGACACCAGCATATTCAGTCCTGTCCACAGTAAAGCCACTGGTGCCACTTCCATGAAAAAATGATCTTGCCTACTCTGAGCAGACCTAAAAAGCAAATACTTGTTTTATCAAAGAAATCAGGAAGGTGAATGAAAAATGGTAAGAGATGTAATTGTTATTTCACAGGTAGCTAATGTCACTGTGCAAGTTGGAATTTGTCGGAAAATGCAACACAAAAAATCCCCACTGTTTGTGCAGCAGGAACACTCCAATGAGCACCTACACGCACAATGAGGGATTTTAGATGACACTGTAATAATGTACTTCACAAAATATACATTCAGTTTTATGTTCAATTCACACATTTTGTAATGCTGATCTTTCTTAGTGACTGGGATATATACTAAATTCTGATTTCAACAGGCTGCATGAAACCTGGCAGCTACATTTTACAGGGGCTCAAGCAAACATTTTCTTTGATTCCAGCTTTTTTTTTAGGTTCTCCCCTCTTGGAGTCTGCTTTGAATTGCAAATTAAGTAAATTCAAACACACACACACACACAAAATCCACAACTTAGCCTGAACCTCTGAGTTTTACCAGGGCCTGGGAGAGGAACCACATGCATCAGGTTAGTTCAAAAGAATGACATAAATAGTGACACTTTTGACCAGTACCAAGGATTGAATTTCAAAGGTGCCGTAATGCCCAAGGATTCTGTAGATTTAAGTCCTTGCTAACATTCAGCATGGCTTACTTTCAAGCTCTCCTTCCCACCTCCATATGCGCCCCACCTGTTCTGTTAAAGCTGACCTTGCTTCTTACATACACTTTGCACACATCAGTCTGTCTTTTATCTGGCTATTGCTCACCTTTTTAAGGCACAAATCCCACATGCCTTAGAGACTGCCTAGTACTTCAGATAATGTGCATTTTTAACTTGTACTAGAAGCAGAAAAATCACAGGATTGAGTCTTTAGTCTTTACTTCAGCAGAACTCCTGCTCACTTCACTCCTAATTTCACACAAGAGAAGCCTAAGAACTGCATGTACTAATCCTGCATATTTTGTCACCTCTCTTTTTGTGTCATTAGTGCTCTTCCAATCTCTGGGATCCCAATTCAAGTGGCTCTCTCTTGTAGCACTGCCTAGCACTCAATCTGGCTTCCCATCAAGGGTCAGGCAGACAAGTTGTTAGAGATGGGCTGTTGGAAGTCTTCTAAAAAATCTGGGCTCAAAAATCTCTGTGAAAGGCAATACTTAAAATATCTTCATTTTCCTCCATGTTTTTTGCTATGGCCTGGGAAGATATCTCTCTTCCAGTGTGATGAGCATAAAGCACTGAGATCCACAGCAGCTGTGACGCACTTTTTAAAATACATAAAATCAACAAAGCTGATAGTACTTCTTAAGACACTAGTATTGCAACAGAGAATGAAATACCCCAAATTTTGTAAAAAATGTAATTTAACTTTGGAAAAATTAGAGGAAAAGGATCTTCAACCATAAGAAGATTGGGCAAAAAGAGAGACAAGCAGTACAACAGAGAAATGGGATGTATGACATTGGGTTAAATAACTTCTCGCCTGTCTACCTGAGCTCTTCTATCCAGAAAAGGAAACCATTACATTTCTGTTCCATGGGGTACTGTGTGCTTAATTAAGATTTTGGAGGATAAATGTTCTGCATGAATGCATTCCAGAAATGCAGACTTTATTACTTAAATATTCCCACTAATGATAGTAACTTGGGCATTTTATATATGCTTACTTTTATTCCACCTTGCTCTTTCCAAGTTTTATCTGGTAATTTAGAGGGTGTGAGGAACATTAATTGTATCAGTGTTTTTATTAAGGAAGGTCCATTTTATGAGAGTAGTGATGTACTACAGATTGTGATTTAAGATGTACACTTTAGGTCACTTTTATACTGACTTCAGTGCAGTTGCAATGGGCATAAAGTCAGGAGAAAATGTGGTGCTTTACATAATTATGCTGATGATTAATGGGCTCCTGGACCATAACTCTGTATTCTGAGGAATCGATCCTCCTTCTCCCTCCTGAAATTTGTATCTTGAGCCTTTCATCTCTTGATAGCTACCTTTCCAGGTCTGTTCATTAATCAGCACCATTGATCTGACGTGGTTTGTCATATTGTATTACCTAAAACACACAGAAGCAAGCATTGGCCTGACTCTGCTCTTTACACAACACACCATCATATTTCCTTTACAGATTACTTAAATATTATAAACATAAACTTACTGCTGTTGCTTGGTCCTGTAACTGGCCTTTTCTAGATTAGTTCCTATGGATGTTCTCAGTTCAGTCAGAGAGAAGAGGAGAGATTTCTACCAGGTTCAGCCTGGTAGAAATATCTCCTTTTTTCTCTGACTGAACTGAGAATATCCGTAAGTTCCCTGCAGGATATTTCTGTCTCTCCCCCTGGATGTACTTCTGTCTGCTCAGAGACACCATCAAATACATTCAGTATTCCCTGCTTGTTAGGAGCACTCCTATGTCTGACCAGCAAGGGACAATCAGCAAAATAGCTCCTTATCTTTACTTGAGACCTGGTACTACAATCTTCTCTTACTTTTTATTAGTGATTTCCAATCAAGCAGACTCAAGTTTTTAGTTAATTGCTATTTACTTTATTCTTGCAACAGTATTTTCCCTGATATCGTCAGAATGCTTCCTTCTGCCTTTCCTCTGATCCCTAGTAATGAAAAAATTAAAAGATGAGCTTCTTGTGAGCTTATTTCTGATTACTCTTATTTACTGTGCTGGATAGTGCTGTCTATCATGAGGCAAGGGAAAGTAACTTGCTATTGCCTTGGAAGTTAGCATGTCTGATCTTAATTCACATTTTGTACAGCTCTCTTGAGTCAGGTGGGTTGAGTTTTAATCGATGCTTTCAGTGTCATGATATATTTTCAGAATGGACTGTCTAGGCTAAATGAAATTCTTTTTGGTCACTTTTTCTCTTTGGGAGTAGCATTTTGGATTAAATTCTTAAAGCCACAACAAGGAGGAGATGAAAACAGCAGTGTTAGCCATCAACAAACACGATTCAAGAATCAACTTTCTGCATAAAGTGGGTTATTTCAGATATATTTTACTCTTTATAAGGAGAAAGTACATTGTCTGACTAGGACTGACTATGGCATTTGCACTGTGTGAACAAGATAGACTGAGACATAAAAGCCACTGTTCCAGCAGAGGCCAGAACTTGTGCCAAGAAAACGACAAAAATTTAGTATCACAGGACATGTTCTGAGAAGGCCATGAGCATGGATTTTCCACTGTAGTCAGGGCTTCGTTTCCAAGAGGAAATAGCTAATTTCTGCGTTTTACTGGGTACGCTGTATGTCCACTATAGTATGGCCTGAAAATCAGAAATTAATTTGTTAATGGATTAGATATTTACAGAAAGACTGTTTAAAGAGGCTGGACTGCTCTAGCCTGGAAAAGGCCAATTCTCCACAGGGACATGCTTGCAATAGCACTTGAGGAAAAAAAAATCTCTCCCTGAAGTCCCAGAGGTACTTACTGAAATCCAGAATAGCAGGAAAATCTTCATTGTAGGAAAGTCTACATTATGTTCCCACTTTTTCTTTCACAGGCTCTCTATTACTTCTCTGCATCTGTTTCTTTTCCCCTTCTTTCAGGGCCTTTTATCTGATATTATAGAATTACACTGCTCTTAAGCTGCAGTTCTTAAGTTTGATTTTGGCATTTGGAATAGGTATTTTTGAGGTCTCACTTTTGTTCTGTTGATTTTTCCAATATTTCTTTCTATTTGCAAGCAGTACTCTCAGTGTAACAGCTAACTGTGCCTAAGAGTTCAGGTCGGAAAGGATGACTCTTCTCCTTCTGGCTTTCCTTTCCACTTCCCACGACAAACCCTCTCCTACCTGGGGCAGTGGTACAAGGCCTCAGCCCACAATATTCTCTCTCATTTAAGATCTAACTCTGAATGCTGCTTATTTTCTACTGATGAAGATCTCATGGTACTCACTGTGTTGGGTGTGTAAATCCCACACCTGTGGGCATGGCAGGTGTGCAAGCAGAACATGTGCTGCTCTCTTGGCTGCTCTTTGCAGGGGGCGGAGCAGGATAAAACCATGTTTGGCAATGTTAAGCAGCTGTTTGGACTTTGCACACCTGATTTGAAATGAAGGTAACTTCTGCTTGGAAGAG